AGTTGAGGATAGGGTATTCATGAAGCCTCCTCCTCCTTCAGTGAGTTGTTAATTGTCCAGCATCATTCAGAACTGATTGTGAGAGTTATGCAGAGTTTTGATTTGATCCATTGGTTGTGGTATTGCTTATGCCTTGCTATTGCTGCTTGTATTGTTTGAAACATACTCTGTTTTAACTTCACTGGGTATACCTGCTACTGCTCCCGACTTGCTTTCTTGCACTCTATTTGAACCAGGATTGATCCCCTTCCTTAATGGTAGAGTAGAGAATGTGTTATTTCCACAGAACTCGGGTTTTAATTTAGCCTTTACTTATTGGGAGTTTAAAGTTGGCTGTGGAAGCTGTTTCATCTCTCTCTGCCACTGCAAAAAGCTAGAGTTCTCTCTCTCTCTCTGCCTGAATTTTCTCTTGACGTTTTTTTTTCCTGGACTGGGGAAAAATTGCATGTGAGACAATCCATTTTACTGAATTTGCCTTTGTCAAGGGTGTGTTTGTGGGATGTTGCCATTTTGGAACAATTGCTGTTTAGAATCATAGAATACCTACAGTGTGGAAACAGGCCATTCAGCCCAACAAGTCCACACCGACCCTTGGAGTATCCCACCCAGACCCGTCCCCCTATAACCCACCTAATCTACAGACCCCTGAACACTATGGGCAATTTAACATGACCAATCCACCTAACCTGCACATTTTTGGACTGTGGGAGGAAACCGGAGTAGTATTTAAATAATCTATTATTTTGTTAAGTTTTCCCAATAGAGTTAAAATCCACCCTTGGGCAACTGTCTTTGTGGAGTTTGCATATTCTCCTTGTGTTTGCATGGGTTTCTTCTGGGTGCTCTGGTTTCCTTCCACAGTCCAAAGATGTGCAGGTTAGTGGACTGGCCATGCTAAATTGCCCATAGTATTCAGGGATGTGCATGCTCGGTGGATTAGCCACGGGAAATGCAGGATTACAAGGATAGGGTAAGGGATGTGGGTCTGTGTGGGATGCTCTTCAGATGGTCAATGTGGACCCAATATGCTGAATAGCCTGCTTTTTTGCACAATGACTCTATGATTCCTTACAACAATTCTTCTTTTTGTTTTTAATTTAACTGGGGATAAGAATAAGGTGTGTTTTGCTTGAAGCCGAGTAGCATGGCCAATCAAATTACACCTGGAACACAGCAGCTTATACTTGCCTTTAAATAAGATAAAAAGTCAGGGTCTAGTCTGTCTCCTTGATACACAGTATTTGATGGGTGTTTGGTCAGGTCCATAACGTAGGCCAGATCAGGTAAGGATGGCAGTATTCCCATCCTAAAGGACATTAGTGATTCAAATGCTTTTTTTAAAAAAAAGAAAATTGGCAATGGTTGAAAGTCATTATTTAATTTATTTGAATTTTTTAAAAAAATATGGAATTAAGCATCACAATCTGCAATGGTGGGTTTCAAACACAATTCCCCAGATGATGATCTGGGTCTCTGGATTACACATCCAGCAATAATTCTGCTACACCATCATTTCTCCTCTAGTTTCCTATTTTCTCATTTCCTTTCTTAAATAGTGGAGTTAAATTTGTTACCCTTTGATCTGGAGGAAGTGGTATATGATCTGTGGAATTTTAGAAGGTGATCACCAACACATCCATTGTCTCTGCAGGGATGTACATATACAATTGGGCCTTTTAACATTGTTTAGATTTGAGGAGTGAATTGGCAGTAGTAGATTCGGAAGCAAAGGGTATTACAAAGGTATAAGACCCTGGTTTTGAATTGAGATACCTGAAGCGATGAAGGAAGTATAAATTCCTATGTGTTATGATCACTCTTCCCTAAGGGTTTCTTTACAGAAAGATTAATTTACTTTCTTGTTGTATAATATTAAATCTAAAATAGCTGTCCTCTAGTTGGTTCAAGTGTTCTTGAAAACTCTCATATACATTAGGAATCTGTCCTTCAAAATAATAATGTTAATTAGATTTACCTAGTCTACATGTAATTTGAATTATCTCATGATTACTGTATGACTCTTGTTACATACGCCTCTCACTTCCTGACTAATATGGTGTCCTAAATTACTGCTTTTTGGTGGCCTATAAGCAACTCCAATCAATGTTTGCTGTACCTTGCTGAGTAGCTCGACCCAGGCAGATTCTATGGCTTAACATTCTGATCCAAGACCCCCTCTTAATAAAATATAAGGTTAGTACATTATTAAGGACATCACTTTTGCCTTTCTGTCTATCCTACCTATATACCACATATCCTTGATTTTTCAGTTCCCAGCCTTGTTATCTCACAGTCATTTCCCCACAATAATTAGATGATTCTGGTTTATTTCTAATTGTGCCATCAAATGTTGCAAATTGTATTCATTCAGATAGACTTAAGTTACCCCTTTTTAACACTTTTTTTTTGGATTTTGATTAAATTTGATGCTTGTTTTTGTTTCAGTTGCACTTCAATTTTACAATTTTTTTTACTGTTACCAGCTTTGTTTCCCTCCTATCTGAGTTCCATTTTAAGTTCCCATCCTCCTGTCAAGCTGTTTGAAACCCACCTCGACAGCACTACAAAAATCTAGAGGGACATTGATTCTAGTTCTGCTCAAATGTAATATATAATAGTGGCATTATCACTAGACTAGCATTTCAAAACCCCAGGCTGATAATCTGGGGACATCAGTTCAAATTCCACTATGACAGATGATGAAATTTTGAATTCAATAAAAAATCTGGAATAAAAAGCTAGTACATCTGGTTCACTAATGTCCTTTAGGGATGAAAATCAGACATCGTTACCTGGTTTGGCCTACACGTGACTCCAGATCCCCAGCATTTACTGGCATTTGGAGGTAGTCCAGAGAAGTCATCAGATTGATACCAGGCATGAAGGGACTCCCTTATGAGAATGAGTAGGTTGGGTCTGTATTCATTGGATTATAGAAGAATGAGGGGCAACATTATTCAAAGATACAAGATTCTTAGGGAACTTGGCAGGATAAATGTGGAGAGGTGGTTTCCCCTTGTGGGAGAGCCTGGGACCAAAGGGCATAATATCTGAATAAGGGGTCACACATTTAGGATAGAGATGAAGAGGAATTTCCTCTCTCAAGCCTAGTGAATCTGTGAAACTGTTTACCGCAGAGGGCTGTTGAGGCTGTGTTATTAAGTGTCATCAAGGCTGAGCTGGAAAGATTTTTAATCAGTCATCCATAAGAATGCTGTGCAGCCACTCTGTGACATCTTTGATCCTGTCACCAGGGAGGCAATTCAACATGCTGAAGGCACACCTACAGTAGCAACCATATCTGACTGTTCCCTTAACTATCGAATCCCTAACACTATTGCTCTTTAACTCTTCTTCCTCCCTTTCTGTGCAGCATGATTCACTGGTGATCCCATGGACTTGGATTTGGTTAAACTCCTCGGGGAAACTTTTCCAAAATGGAAAGCTGATTAGTGAGATAGATGGACTCCGGAGACCTGTGCATTACCTCCCTGGTCATCTCGGAATGTCTGCTGCAGGACCACTAACTTTATAATTCTGTTATACTTCAGAAGTCTGTTCACTTTTATAAATAAATGAAATTGTTCATCCTAAGAGATCAAATCCATTCAGTAATGCTTTATCAAAGGATCTGTTGTGCAAGGTACCTACTTTATCAGTAACATCAAGAAAACCCTTGCATATTGATTCAAAACAGCGTTTACTACAAGTAGAATGAGGTGCGAGAATGAGACAGATGAATACTCAATGAATGGCAGGACACTTGGAAGCTCAGAAAAGATGTGGTGTTGCAGAGAAGTTTCACCAGGATGTTGTTTGGGATGGAGTATTTTAGCTACAAAGAAAGCCTGGCTAAGCCTGGATTGCTTTCTTTAGAAAAGAGAACGCTGAGTGGGAGACCTGACTGAGGTGTATAAGATTATGTGGGGCATGGGTGGAGTGGGTAGAAAGCAGTTGCTTCCCTTGGCTGAAGGGTCAGTAACAATGGGGCATAATTTTAAGGTGAGGTTTAGAGGGGATTTGAGGAAATCTTTTTACCCAGAGAGTAGTGGGAACTTGGAATGCACTGCCTGGAAGGGTAGTTGAGGCAGAAAACCTCATGACCTTTCAAAAGGTACTTGGATGAGCACTTGAAATGTCATAACATTCAAGACAATGGGCCGAGTGCTTGCAAGTAGGACTAATGTAGATTTAAGAGTTGTTGGTGCAGACTCGATGGGCTGAAGGGCTTCTTCTATCTTATACGATTCTACATTTTATCCTGGTAGGGTTAGAACAGAAAAGATAGAACAATACAATACAGCCCACATCAGTTTTGTCAGATGTTCCATTGCAACGTGTTTATTTTAAAAACTGGGCAGCTTCTATATCATAGAATCATAGAATCCCTACAGTGTGGAAACAGGCCCTTTGGCCCAACAAGCCCACACCGACCCTCAGAGAATCCCATCCCCCTAAAACCCACCTAATCTACACATCCCTGAACACTATGGGCAATTTAGCATGGCCGATGCACCTAGTCTGCACATCTTTGGACTGTGGGAGGAAGCTGGAGCACCCGGAGGAAACCCACGCAGACACGGGGAGAATGTGCAAACTCCACACAGGCAGTCGTCCGAGGGTGGGATTGAACTAGGGTCCCTGGTGCTGTCAGGCAGCAGTGCTAACCACTGAGCCACTATGCTACCCCAAACAAAGAACATTGAATCTGAACATTAAATCGATGTTTTTACAAAGAAGGACTGGCAGATAATCTTTAGTATAATTTCCCAATTTTAAGTAAACACAAAATTTTAACCCAAAATTTAGAATCAAGACTTTTAATTATTTGTTTCTAAGCTGAATCAGCAAAATAATTTTTGTTTTAAAATCAACCCATTTGGAATGTGGGATAACACACCTCAGCACAGGTAGGACTTGAACCCACTCTTGTGTCACAAGACTCCAAAGCTGAACCAAATACGGTCACCCAGGTGCTGAAATAAATGCAGTCAATCATGATCGTAAAATCAGAGATGTTTAATTTCGCACAAAATCATTGATCGAAATTGGTCTGATAGAAGCATATTCAAAACACGATTCAAACAACACATAGACACACCTGACCATCAAACAAATCAGTTTTTAAGGCTCTTGTTCTTGAATCTTTACACAATTGAATATTCAAAAAGTGAATTTGTCATCGATGATAGGAAGGGGCAAGGAACAACAATAGGCTGTAGAAACGGATACGTGAACTGCCTAAAAAAAGGCATTATTTCAGTAAAGCCTGTAAATCAGAAAGACTATTCTGAATATTAGCCCTAATGGGGCTGCTCATTTAAAATGGACGCTTCTTTTTGCAGCTAAGCCTGGGTATGTAAAAAACAATTATGAAAAAAATTAATCAACTGAAGCTAGGGTGTTGAAGGAAAGACCATTTGTTAAAACCATCCACTTTGTATTTTAGTTATGACAACTTGAAACGGTAACTGTGGTTATTGGAGCTAAAATTAAAGGCTGACAATCGTAGGAAGCTTTTAAAATTTGGAAGTCTTGTGTACAGTGGTTGTGAAATATATCAAATTCCAGTGGTATTATATTGATGATTTGTGCATAATCAAAAGACAATGCAGCCTGTTTCATAAATTTAGTTGCTTAGGTCAGATCCGCAGACACGGGTGGTAATGATGTTGTTAAGTTTGAAGTTAAACATTTTTTACGTTTAAGCAATAAACATTTATACATGGACAGATTACAGACATGACCAGAGCTAGGTGTGTAATGTTAGGGTAATTGAGTGAAAGATTGCTGAAGCCTTATATTCTCAAATGTACAAATTGGTCAGTAAAGTTGTGTCTGTGCACAAGTTTGGACAGCTATTCACACTGAATTGCCAAATGCTGCAGATAACACTACAGTTTTTAATATCAATTTTTAAACTTTTAACATACATGATAAACAAAAAAAATGGTCCTTCAAATATTATGGGATGATGCTGAGCACTGCAGCATCAGTGACAATACAACATTAGGGCTGAGAAATCTAACATTCATCAGAGGGAACGCCACTGAATTTCCACCAATCCAAGGTGGGGAAAATGGAAAATCTAAGAATTTGACTGAAGAAATTTTATCAGTTTACAAAACTCGAATAAGATCTAATGAAATACGGTTTCTTGCATGGTCAATCTCCAGCACTTTAACTTCCACCCTTTCACCAGGACCAAGACCTAGACTTCGACGTCTTTTAGTTGCAGGCAGCTTGGCTGCTGTAATATAACGAATAGGGATCAGACCGGATCGACCAACACCGATGTCAACAAAGACGCCAAACAGAGTAGCATTTTCCACCCTTCCAGTCAAAACAGTTCCCGTTCTCAGGTCATTGAGAGAGACAATGTTCCTTTTAAAATCCTGCTGCTCAAATCCTGCACAGGCACAAAACAAGACAGATTAGATGAAAATTCAGTTCTTGCAAGACAAAGAAAATGTCAACATTTTGAAAATTGTGTCTAAAATTAAATAATGGATTGTTTCAAATGGAGTTCTTTTTATTCAATTATTCCCTTGGCCTAGTCATTGTTTAGGCAGCTTATTGTGGTAACAAAATGTCTTTAAATTTCTAATTTAGTTCATAATATACAATGTCTCAAACATGACCAGTAACAATTAAAAATTCTACGGATGTGTGAAAAGGTACAATAACCAAACACATTTATATAGTTCTGAGGGTTGAAGCATTGAGATTGGATATTATTATGCTAGAGTTAACCTGGATTTGCAAGGGACACATGTGCTTTAGCTAATGGGATATCTGCTTAGCCAGAGTTAGCAGTAGTGACTGTGCCTGTATTTTCATAGTCTACCTCATTTGAATAACATGGATGGGCTCCAAATTTTCAAACACTCTCTCAATAAAAAGACTGTCCATTTTGTGGTTGGACATATTTTGCTGTTACACAATTTAAATGTACGTGCAACTTAAAAGGTCATGTAATATCGCATACTTTTGCCTGCATAGTAGAAATACTTCTGTGCAATATCAACTGCCCGTAGCAACAATTGAAGCAACGACTTATATAGCATCATTCTTCATATCTGGCAAATTTACAGCCAATTAGTTTTGAATTCTGCTCATTTATTTAGTCGGCTAACATGGCAGTTAGTCATACAGCAAAGAAATAAAGAAGCAGTTTATATGTATGTACCAAACATACATTCATGTGTCAAGGATGTAATGAGTAGGGTTAATAAGGGGAAGCCAGCAGATATGGTTTACTTAGGCTTTCAGAAGGCTTTTGATAAGGTCTCAATAAGAGATTAACATCCACAACTGAAACACATGGGATTGGGTTTAGTGTATTGACAGTGGTTGGCAGACAAGAAACGAACAGTAGAAATAAACAGGTCTTTTTTTGAATGGCAGGCAATGATCAGTGAGATACCATAGGGCTTAGTGCTAGGACCCAGCTATTCACAATATAAATTAATGATTTAGATGAGGGAACTAAATGTAATATTACCAGGTTTGCAGATAACACAAAGCCGGGTGGCAGGGTAAACTGTGAGCAGGATGTAGAGATGCTTCAGTGAAATTTAGACAAGTTGAATGGGTAAATGCATGGCAGATGGTGATAGATTGGGATATGGAGAGGTGCAACGAGACTTGGGTATCCTGAAACACCAGTCACTGAAAGGAAGCATGCAGGCTCAGCAGGTGGTAGAGGCAGCCAATTAGATGTTGGCCTTCATAGCGAGTGGATGAGTATAAGAGCAACAAAGTCTTGCTGCAATTCCAAAGGGCCTTGGTGAGACCACATCTGAAGTATTGTGTGCAGTTCTGGTTTCCTGATCAGAGGAATGATGTTCTCGCCATGAGGGGACTATAACAAAGATTTACCAGACGGATTCCTGGAATGGCAATTGGAATGGACTGACGCATGAAAAAAGGCTGGATTGATTAGGATCAAATGCTCTGAAGTTTAGAAGAATTGGCGTGGGGGGGTGGAATCTCATTGAAACTTATAAAATTCTAACAGGACTAGACAGGATAAATACAGGAACAATGTTAGGTTGGGGAGGCAATGGCCTAGTGGTATTATTGTTGGACTGTTAATCCAGATACCCAGGTAATGTTCCGGGGGTCTGGGTTCGAATCCCGCCATGGCAGATGGTGAAATTTGAATTCAATAACTGTCTGGAATTAACAGTCTAACGATGACCATGAATCTGTTGCCAATCATCAGGAAAAACCCACCTGGTTCACTGATGTCCTTAGGAAAGGAAACTGCCATCCTTACCTGGTCTGGCCTACATGTGACCCCAGACCCACAGCAATGTGGTTGACTGATAACTGCCCTCTGGCTTGAGATTTAGGGGTTGGCAATAAATGCTGGCCTGGCCAGCGATGCCCCCTTTCCATGAATGAATAAAGAAAAAAACATCCAGGGAATCCAGAACCACAGTCACAATTTAAGGATCTGGGGTAGACCATCTAGGACTGAGATGAGGAGAAAGGCTAACAGGATTAGAGACTTAAAGTATTGACACAGTTATGAGATGAATTAGTTATAATTGTCCAAAATTATTTAGATTCTGGAATGGTCCTAGTGAAGTGGATAATAGCAAATGTAACCCCCTTATTCAAGGTGGTAGGGGAGCAAAATGCATGGAACTACAGGCCTGTTAGTCTAAAATGTGTCACAGGAATGTGCTCTAATGCATTATTCAAGGAGGATATAGCACGACACTTAGAAAATTATGAATTGACCAGGCACAGTTGACATGTCATTGTCAAATGAAAGTCATGTTTAACTAATCTATTATTTGGTGAAGTAACATTCATGGTGGATAGAGGGGAACTGGTAGATCTGTTGTACTTGGGCTTCTAAAAGGTATTTGATGAGATGTTGCATCAAAGGTTACCAGACAAACTAACAGCACATGGAGTAGGGGTTAACGTATAAGCATGGCTAAAGGACTGGTTAGCTAACAGGAATCAGAAACGAGAGACATGAGTCATTTTCGGGGTTAGGGATCAGTGCCGGGTCCACAACTATTTACAACCAACAGCAGTTCTTTGGATAAGAGGCCAAATGTACAGTGAGGAGATTTGTCATTAAATCTAAAACAGAAAGGAAAATAAGTTGACAAGAGGAGGTAGAGAGTCTGTGAAGGGGTATAGACAGATTAAGTGAATGGGAAAAGAAAATTGGCAGATGGGAATATAATATGGGTGAATTTCAATCTGTCCACTTTGGCAGGTAGTATAGAAAAGCAGTGTACTATCAAAATGGAAAAATTGCAGGACACAGGGTTCTGGGTGTCCTAGTACATGAATCAAAATATTTGCTTGTAGGATAGGAAATAATTAGGAAGGCAAATGGAGAGTTGTTGCTTATTGCAATGGGAATGGAAAACAAGACTAGGGAAATTTTACTTCAGCTGTGCAGGGTGGTAGTGAGACCACATCCCAAGTACTGTAGAGTTTTGGTTTGCTTATTTGAAAAAAAATGATTTATTTTAAAAGAAGTTCAGAGAACGTTCATTCAACTCACTCCTGGGATCTTGCTAGAAAGTTTGAACAGGTTAAGCTCCTTTGGAGTTTAGAAGAACGAGAGGTGATCTTATTGAAACATATATCATTTGAAGGAGTCGGTATAGGGTGGCTATCAGAATGCTTTCTCTGTGGGGACACTAAAACCAGGAGACTTAAGAGGTCTTTCTTTTAAGCAGACATAAGAAGAAATGTTTTTCTTTGAGGGTTGTTAAAGTGTGGAAAATTACTGAAGATTTTTAAATGACAAGGAGTCAAGGTTTATGAGAGTGCAGACAGGAAAGTGGAGCTGTGACCACAACCAGCTCAGCCATGATGTTGTTGAGTGGCAGAGGTTTGAAGGGCCAAATGACATACTAGCCTGCTGCCATGGTTCTGCAGTGAGACTTGAATCTTTGACCAACTTACTCAGAGGTGAGTGTACTGCCACTGAGATGAACCGTAGGGCACAAAGTTTCCTGTTTGTACACCTGATGTGGAAGAGCTGTTAGGACAGGAAGGAGGGCTGAAGGAAAGAAGCTCATTGTCAATGTAAGGAGGTGGTCTCAACAGTAAATGCCAATTCAACCAGTTTGAAAGATCACTTGGTTCAGGAAGAAGTTTAGTTATCTTTATTGGCCAAGCAAGTAAATAGGTGACAGATAAGAGTTTCCAAAGATGCACAGTTTGTCATAGACAATGAGCTCCTCTTCTGCGATGAAATTCTTGAATGGTTTAGGCTCGATACCCTAAAGGTAGATTGGGATCCTTCACAACCCCATATTCCCACTGATGGGTTTCTTCACTCAAATCCTTTTGTGCACTAAAGGCACTGTGTGTAATGGTACAGGAGCAAGAGGATAAGATTCATTACAGCTGTCAACATCTTTGAATCTGCTGTGAGAGAGTAAAAAGTATACAGAATGGCAAAAACACTCAAGTAAACTTCAATTTTTGAAACTCGCAGTTGTGAAGTAGCAATTTTTGAAAAAAGATATGAGTGCCAAAATGTATGGAGGTGGACTGCATCCTTGGAGGAAGGGAAAATTGCACTAATCAAGAGAAATAACGAGGTAAATTATACTATGCTTTAGTGGATTAATTTTTTTATGCCTCCTTCTGGCTAAAAAATAAGATTCTAAAGTTAATGGGCAATATCATTTGATTTTAAGGTTTTAGCAAAGATTTGTAGCTCGGGTTGTGGGTGAGGTTGTTGATTTGCTCATCGAGCTGGCTTGTTTTCATTCAGATGTTTCATCACCATGGACAAAGCCTTCATCGGAGGCCCCACTGATGATGTTACCTAGCATGGTGACGAAACGTCTGAAAGAAAACAAGCCAGCTCAGTGAGCAAGTCAACAACCTCAGTATCATTTGAATAAGGCAATAATGTGGTACTCTCCATCAGTTGGCCAAAAATTGACAATTTCTTCCCTTTTCTCTCTCCCCGAAGGTGTTAAAATCAAAATCCAGCAAAAATGTATTTGTTCTGATCACAATTCACCTCCTTGACCCCTTATTCTTATGTGGCACTCTGTCAGCTTTGAAAGTAGAATCCATTGATGGGGTAGTGTCAATGTCAAGGGGGGTTATCACTTCACATGCACACACATTCATGTAGCACATGAGTGGAGGTGATTTCAGCATCCCTTTTTAAGGAGCATGTCGTTAAATAGAGCTGGCCATTTCTGGAACTGTGTATTCAGTTTGTTGCTTAACAAGTTCAGGTAGAGGGGAAATCCTGAATCATTTCTAAAATACATCCACACAGGTGGAAGTACTGAACTGGAACTACTTAACCAAGCGTATCTATTATGAGTTTCAAGTGTTAATAGATGCATGATGATAAATGTAGAAAAACATTAGAAATACTCTTGTAGGCTATACACCTCA